GCAGGGAGCCTGCTTCTCCCTCTGACCCTCCCCCCTCTCATGTGCTCTCTGTCTCTCTCATTCTCTCTGTCTCAAATAAATAAAATCTTTAAAAAAAAAAAAGAATGAAATCTTACCATTTGCAAGGACATAGATGGAGCTAGAATGTATTACGCTAAGTGAAATAAGTCAATCAGAGAAAGACAAGTACCATATGATTTCACTCATATGTGGAATTTAAGAAACAAAACATATGAACATAGGGGAAGGGGAAAAAAATAAAGAGAGGAGAGCAAACCATAAGAGACTGTTAACTATAGAGAAAACACTGAGGATCGATGGAGGGGAGGTCGGTGGGGTTGGGCTAAATGGGTGATGGGTATTAAGGAGGGCACTTCTTGTGATAAGCAATGGGTGTTGTATTTTGGTGATGCATCACTAAATTCTATTCCTGAAACCAATATTACACTATATGTTAACTAACTAGAATTTAAATAAAAACTTAGTAATAAAAAGATCATCTTGAAATAGGGTGTTAAAGAAAAATTGCAGTGGAAATTGAAGAAGACTTTATTCAAGTCTTGCAATAGAGGAGAGAGATTGAATTCAACTCCCTTGAAACAAGACAGGAGGATTTTTAAGTGCTGAGGTAAGGTAGTGGAAAAGTACCAGAGGATGTTAGAGGAGAGGGTGGTCAATGTGAAGTGGTCATCTGTGCTTGCTCTCTGTCACTTTCTAACTTAGGCTCCTACTCTACCACAGAGACTAGAAGATAGGGGCACTGTCTTTCTTGATTGATTGCATTTTAAAGGGATGGTCAGGGGCCTAGGGTCAGGAAGAAGCCTGTCTAAAGTTTAGTCAAGGTTAAGGGATAGTTAAGGCCCTCTTTCTCATTTGGGCCTTAAATCCAATGACAGTGTCCTTGTGTTCTTACAAGAGAAAGAGAAAAGACATACTGAGACACAGAAGGAGAAGGCCATGTGAAGACAGAGAAATATGGGAGTGTTGCGTCTATAATCCAAGGAATGCTAAGGATTTGACAGCCATCAGAGGCTAAAAGAGGCATGGAATGTCCCCAGAGCTTCCAGAGGAACCAATCCGGCCAACACCTTGATTTAGGCCTTTTGGATTCAAGAACTGTGAATGGATTTTTTTAAGCCTATCAATTTGTGGTAATTTGTTATGGCAAACCTAGGATTGCTATATAACAGCTTTCTGACAGGTTTCTCTCCAGTTCTCATTTAACTCCAAACATCAAAATTGTACATCTCACTAATGATTTAATTGTTTTGTCCTCTATTCCTTTTTTCTTTTCTCTTATTTTTTCTTCTTTTTTAAGTACCAGCCAAAAGCCATGACTTCCTCCTCTACATTCTTTTGATAATGCTGCTGATAAGGATAATACAGCTGAAACTTGTTTAGTATTTGTTCCATCAAACAAGCTTTATGCCTTATCCTTTTTAATCTTCATACGAACATAACAAGGCAGGTACTATTATTTTTTATATTAAAAATGAAAACATTGAGGAACAGAGGGATTAAATAGTACTAAGTGGCAGAATGAAAATTTGCTTTGAGATCTGACTAGAGAGCCCACGTGCTTAACAATTTTACTATATTTTTCTGTTTAATATCACTGAATGTCTCATGTTGCCTTCTATTATAAATAACTACGCATTTTTCTTTTTTAGTACAAACATTCAACAGAGATAACTAAAAATCACAGATGCACAAACATATCCACTTAATCTTCCCATTTTAAAGGATTTCTAATATTATTTATATTGTGGTGCATTTCTTTCAACTTTTATAATTCAGGAAGGAGTTGAGGCAACTCGTGTGAATACTTTTAACCTTTAAATAATTTAAAAGTTCTGTCTTATTTATCTTTTTTTAAAAAGATTTTATTTTTTTGAGATAGGGTGTGAGAGAGCATGGGAAGGGGGGCGGGAGAGGGAGAAGCAGACTCCCCACTGAGCAGGGAGCCTGAAGCGGGGGTTCAATCCCAGGACCCTGAGATCATGACCTGAGCCAAAGGCAGACACTTAACCGACTGAGCCACCCAGGCACCCCTTATTTATCTTTTCACAGCATTTAGCACAATTCTTTGAATGTCAGAAGTACCCAAATTTTACTGAATGAATGTAGTTAACCCAACTTTCAGCCCCCAGTTGTCCCCCAATTTCCCAGCATTCTAGGATTGTATTTTCCTTTAATATTTTAATTGAATGGTGCAGACTCCTATTGTATATGCAATGGGAAGCCCACTGCTCTTCTGCCCCACAATGCTTCTGAATCTTAGGAGTTGGGAGAGGGGTCCATATATGTTCCCTGCTCACCTACCCTTGAGTTGTTTTCCTTTGAACTCCTGCTGTTAGCTTCATTCTGTGACTTGTCTCCTGAGACTGCCATCTTCTTGCTGTCCTGGACACTGTTCTACTGACATGAAAGTGCTATCTGGTAGACTCCTACTGATTGCCTGGAATGTAAAGGGGATTAAAGCATATCACAGCTTTCATTTATTCATTCAATAATTCACCAAACATACAAGCAAGCATTCACTGAGTGTCTAGTGGCACTGTGCTGGGCATTGGGGAGACCAATGATAACCAAACAAATGAGAGTCCCCACATTCATGTAGCATGTAGTTCATACTAAAGTGAGAAAAAGAAAACTCCCACAGATGCACAGATGAATATAAAATTACAACTGAGGTAAGTATGATGAAGGAAAGGCCCATGGAAGATTGAGAGCTATGGTAGTGGGCCTTGAACAGAGAGCAGAAGGATAAGTACGCATTAGCCAGCCCTGTGGCAGAGAGAGTTGGGGGAGAAGGGCACTGAAGAAAGGATGACAGCACATGCAAACAAACCATAGTAGGGTGGAGCAAGGTACACTGCAGCAACTACAAAAAAGCCCATTGCTAGGGATGCACAAACCTAGGCCAAGAAGGGAGAGGAGTGAGACTGGAGAAAACATGCAAAGCCACTTTACCAACTGCACAGTCTACGTCAGGCTTCTTTAACAACAAATGGGATTTTAATTCTAAAGTTATTTGGGAGTTATTGAACAGTTCAAAGTAGGGGATTGACATGATACCCTTTGTATTTTGAAAAAAAAAAATTCTGGCTACTGTATACAGACAAGAACTAAAAGGGTGAGGCATGGTAGATGCAGGGATTCCCAAAAGGAAGTGTTGGTCCAAATGAAAGATGATGGCTTAAAGTAGGGAAATGATGGTGGAGATGAAGATAAATGGAAAGATTTGAGAAGCATAAAGCAAGAGGACCTGGTGATATGAGGGAAGCATAGGATGTCAAAAATATAAAGCTTGCTAAAATGGTATAGGCAGCAAATTGCAAAAAAATATATGTATAACCCTGCAGTCTTAAAAAGTGATCAGACTTTTATGAATATGGGAAATTTTCATGAGCTATGTCTCATCTTAGCTTCCTGCCTAAGGGCTTTTCCTTTATGCCCACTTTCTTTCCTTTAAAACCATATTCTCTACCACCATTTTGTTGCTTTACATATTTCTGGACTCACACTCATTTCTTCATAATTTTAACATAATACACCTATTAAGTGGACAGCTTAACACTAAATCTCCACTACTTTAGGGCCTAGATTTGCACTGCCAACACTTCTATTGAGCTGTTGCTAAACTGTCTGCCATAGTTTCACCCTTTGCTCTACAAAGATCTTGGAGAAGTACTGAAATCAAACTTTTTTTTTTAGTGTATCTTAGATCAATTCTTAAGCTTAGACTTTCACGGAACTTCCAGGGTCATGGAGTTATGTAAGACTATGGTTACTTTCATCTCCCCATTGAGTCAAATTATTTCAGGCTTCCCTAAACCCTTCATTTCCTAATATCTCCTGTGTTACTGACCAGCTGTAGTATTTATACCTCCTAGAAGAAAATTAGTTTTTTATTATTTTCTAGTTCTCATACTGCATGTCATTCCCTATCATTCAAAATGTCAGTTTAGGTATCCCAAAATGGCTTACAGAAACTAAAAGCTATAGATAATAGTCTACAAAGAATAAGTAAAGTACTTAATGTTAACAAGGTAGAATCAAAATGCTTAGTATGAAATGACTTTCAAATCCATATATTCCTTGGAGAAGGAATATCTATACCTAATATTGGATCTGTTTTTGTGCTCTTTTGAAGGGAACATCCTTCTGTATCAGAACTTCCCCTGTTTTCTTACCCAGATTTCTTCACCAAGGCTGATGAAGAGTTGGCAAGAATCATTGACCATCATGTAAGACTGACTTTCTTAAATTAGCAGCAAAAGCTTTGTTCTTTAAAGGCACTTTGAATTAGAAAGTGTAGTTCTGAGGCTGAAACATTACGTGGAACTTAAAAATAAAGCCATGATTGGGCTTTGCCAAACTTAATTATATCTTACTGTGCTATCTGTATACTTCAGTGCCTTTATTGGGTTCCAGGAAATTTGGCTTTCTGTAATTTGTGAAATATTAGCTTTATCCTGTTTCCTGAATTAGTACTGATTTCTTGTGACAAAGATCTGATATTGAACACTGAACAGTGGATTCTTTTATAGTGTAGTTTTAAAAATGGAACAAAAATCTTTTGACTCAATTTTTGATGACCATTCTTTACCCTTGAAATATTAGAAGGACTTTAATCATTTTATTCTTGATATGAGTTAAACAAGCAGTGGCCATACAAGGCCATTCACTTAAAACACTTTACTCCATTGAGCTATATTTAGTTGATGATTTCTTATGAAATCATTTTATAACTGCTTCTTTTTTAGGAGTAGAGTTGGAATAGGAGAGAAAATATTTATTTTCTGTTTTTCTTAGAATATAGTATGGACTAAATGGCATATAGAATGTGTTTAAATTTTTAAGAATTAATCCTCTGTTGATTTTTTACAATGTAAAGATCAAGGTCATGAAGTACACTGAAATCTCTCATATAAGGTAGATTAGTTGGCTTTGTTTATAGATACTGTCATTATTACACCAACTACCACTTTTATGCTACAACATAAAATCAGTAGTTTTGTCAAACAGTATTATTATTTAGTTATATGATAAAAATTATGTCACAGATGGGTATCATAATTATCAAGTTAACTTTGTATTTAAAATTTAACTGGAAGAAAAGTGAATATGATTTTATTAAACTTTTTTATTTAATATTTACTCTGAGTATGTTTAAAAAAACTTAATGCGTTTGGAAGGTTGAGAGATTTGTTGTAAATTCTGTGGTTTAGTCCTGCTTATTAATATCTATATACCCCAAATGATAGTTATAATCCAGAGCACTAGTATACAGTAATTTATAAGTTAATTGATAGGTCATTAAGCATAGTCTGGTTGTCTGTGAGTATGGATGGGCTGAGGGTAACAAAATAAGAAATAAGCAAGGGTATGAAGTGTCTTTTGGAATTTCCAACATTTCATGCCAAGGGTCATTCTGTCCTGAACTTTTTTACCTGGCTTGAAGACAGATTACCACCTCTTTCACCACTTCCTTCATTAAAGATAGTAGAAGGGAAGTAGGATCCTCATAATGATGTTTGGTTGATTTGCGGTCCTTACATTCCAACTACTGAGTCCTAGAACTTTTGCCTCCACATAATGCTGTTATTGTCATTAATTAACACACTCGATTGAGGTGAATCCCTTAGAAGTCTTTGTATTTGTCTGTTGCAGAATCAGCATTTGTCTGCCCATCAGTTTCATTTTCTACTTCATATGTAATAGTATCACAATTTTGCCTTTCACTTTAATTTGGGTTTTATTTTTGTTTTGCTTTGGCTTGATTTTTTATTTTATGATTCCATGCTATCATGTAAATACCAATATTGATTAAGAATTGAAATTCCTTTGTAATATAAAAATGTAAACCCTATTATCTCTTCCTTTGAATGGTTTATTATTATTAGAAACATTAAGAGGGACTATTGGTTTCTTTTTCTTTCTTTTTTTGGGGGGAGGGAGTGAGACTTGTATACTTTCTAATAGAGGGCTTATATATTTTTCCAGTTATGGGTGGGTTAAAATTCCTCAAGAATATCTGTGAGAAAAACTGAGAAGATAATTGGATATAGAATCTGCATTTTGAGAGGCTAAATTGAAATATTTTTTCATTTTTTCATGGAAAATCATATGTAAATGACACTTTCTCTCTGTGACAGTGGCAGGAAGAGCTAAAGATTCGACAGAAAGAAGATGCAATATGTGAGGCCCAAGAACGTAAAGACAAAGAGCTAGAGGAAAGAAATCACTTCAGAGAAATTATGAAGAGAAGAGAAGAGAAACTACACAAGCAAACCAAACCCTATGAGCTTCCTCCTAGAACTGAAGTAATTTCATTAGAAATAAAACAACCCCCCAAAATTGAAGTCCATATGCCAGAAATTGCATGAAAGAGACCAAGATAGCTAGATGTTAGGAAAAATTCCTTCTAATTAACTAGAAGCCATTTCTTAGGGGTTGTTATCCTGGTGTAGACTCTTTAATAGTCATATCTTAGTCCTAAACTAACAGCTCTTAATCACATTTGAGTGACATGATTTTACTAGTTAAATATTTTCAAGAATATGTCTAGAGCTCTTCCTAATTGACTTTTTCCTTGTGATCATACAGCATACTTAATGATTCTCAGAGTATTGATTTTCAGTGGACAGTTAGATGGAAATGAATTATAAATTATTATGAGTCACATTTAAGAATTATTCCTTGAAATAGGATAATCACCAACTGATACTCCTATATTAACTATTATACAAATAAAAGAAGTAAGGCACCTGCTTGGATTTGTATTTCATAGTCAATGCCACATCAAACTGTATGTCAGAAACTTGAATTCAATAAAGTATAGTAGATAAATAAATCTGAGCAGGCCATTCATCTCAGGATGATTTGGTCTTTGGAAGATACCAAAGGAGACCCCTGAGTGACAGTGGTTTTACCTTGCCAGATGAGTTTATGAGGATGGATCTGGATGGTTCTGGAAGGTACAGGAACACTTACCAGAGGGATTCAGCCAATTAGGAGTGATTTTTTAAGTGGCACTTCACTTCTTCTGAAACTCTCAATCTATAGATTGGGTTGAGGTTCCCATGATGGCTTATACTCCTTTTCTGAAAATATAGATAATAACCACACCTCGGTTTCTTGATACTCAAGAGACAGTTACTTTATTAGGGATGTTAAACTCATATGACTACCAGGTTAGGAAGGTAACAGAAATCAGTGAAAGGGGCTATGGAATACCTACCCCATCTAAAGGAAGTTCCCAGCACTTGGCTACACTCAGCAATATATGTGCAGTATTATAGCATCATACAATCTTCCAAGAAGGACCTCTTAAATAAGATTACTTTTTTAAATAAAAATTGCTAACTTTTAAAATATTAGCAACTAATTTTTTAAAATCACATAATTTGGGGTTAAATTTGTGACCCATATTATGTAAATGTACAGTATCATTCTTTAAGATAACAATAATATATAGTAGAAAAGTGAGAGGGAGGAAGGGTGTTTTTATTATGATTCCCTATAAGGCTGTTTCAAATCTATGTGGCTCTTCCCAAACCTTTTGTGTCATCCTTGTCTCAATATCTCCCAGTGTGCCTTTCCAAATACCTTCATTAATCTGTGCTCTCTTCATATATGAAAAGAAATCTCTCCCACAGAAGGCCAGCCAGTCCCCTTTCCCTGAATTTCATCCCTTTGAAAATCTTGCTTAATCAACTATTCACTATCCCCCTTGAAGGAGCTCCTTATCACTCACTCCTACCCACAGATACCTCAATTTTCTACCAACCTTTCATTCAAAGTACTTTCTCCTTAAGTCCTTCAGTGATAGCAGCTTTACCAGACTGCCTTTTTAAGTCATAACCTTTCTGATAGGCTGTGAGAGAGGGAACCACTGGGCTGTGAGGTGTGGGGAAGGGACTCTGGACATCTCACTGCTACTTACAAGAATGTCAGCAAATCCTGCTGTTTCAGAACCACTTTCATACAATTCTGGTGCTTCCAATTTCTGCACTATTCTGGTGCTCTGGGACATGGATTAGTCTGCCTTAAGGCTTCCCTACTGCAGACTTCAGTTTATTTATTTTTCTGCCCTGCTTAGTCTGTTCCCACTTGTTCACCTGCTTTCTAACTTCCACATTTTTCTTAGTATTTCCAATGTACTATCCTATTTTCTCCTTATGGATTCATGCCTTTAAAAAAAGTAATTCCTTGTGTAAGACTGTTGAATCACAGACCCGTACCTCTGAGACAAATAATACATTATATGTTAAAAAAAAAAAAAGAAGAAGAAAAAGATAGTAGGAAGGGAAAAATGAAGGGGGAGAAATCCGAGCGGGAGACGAACCATGAGAGACTATGGACTCTGAGAAACAAACTGAGGGTTCTAGAGGGGAGGGGGTGGGGGGATGGGTTAGCCTGGTGATGGGTATTAAAGAGGGCACGTACTGAATGGAGCACTGGGTGTTACATGCAAAAAATGAATCATGGAACACTACATCAAAAACTAATGATGTAACGTATGGCGATTAACATAATATAATAAAATATAAAAAAAAAAAGATTAAAATGAAGGAAAGGAAAAAAAAATGCAGACCTGGCCAGAAGGACCAGTCTAGATGCCAGGCCCCAGACCCTGCCTATCCCAAGAGTTGAGGGGGATCAAGAGCTTCATTTCCCTGTAACCCTTTTATGGCACACCTGTTGGGAAGCTCTTACAGGAGAAGAGGTCAGTGAGGGCCAGATAACTGAGAAGGGTTTCATGGAAGAGGTGAAGATAGAACTTGGCTTTGAAAGGTGGTAGGTTGGAGGGGCAGTATTGATGGAAAAAGACATTCCAGCAGTGGAAATGACATAGAGCAGGGCAGAGCAGTGGAGCAGAATCCTAGATCTGTGGGCTCTGGGGAGGCCGAAGGCAGTGACAGATGACAGCAGGGGATCTAGGTTGAAAGGTAGCGGAATTTTTGTGCACTAGACCCAGAATAGAGAAATCCTAGAAATGATTACATTCAGACTCAGGGAAGAAGGAGATGAATATTTTTAAAAAGTCTATGTGTTGGGGAGAACTGAGGAAATAGACACTTCTGTCCGATGCTGGTGCAATGTACATGGTATGACCTCTTTGGGGGAAATGTTGGCAGAATCTACCAAAATTACAAATGCACATATCCTTCGACCCAGAATTCCACTCTGAGGAATTAATTCTACATAAATAGGTATACATCTTGTATATCAGTAGGTACAAGGTTAGATACTGTATCATTTTTGTAATAGCAAAGGTTGAAAACAAGATTTGGAAACACCGAATATTCACTAACAGGGGCTCATTGAATAAATTATGGTACACCGATACAGTAGAATACTATATAGTTCTAAAAAGAACAAGAGAGTCCTATGTACTTCATGTTTTCAAAGATACGTTAAGTGGAAAAAGCAAGGGACAGGATACAATGTTTAAAGTGCTCATGCAGCTGCATAAAGCAAGGGAAAGAAGAAGTGTGTGCATGTCTGTGTATATATTTATGTATAAAATAAAAGATTCATAAAAATTAAAAAAATAAAGTAATTCTTTTTCTATCACAGCAGAGATTTGTAAGGGAGCAAAAAAAGAATAATGTATATATGTGTGTGTGTATACATACACACACATATGGAGAGAGAAAGAGATTAGTCAGAACGTTTATACCTTTATTCTTAAATTGTTTTGTAAAATTCTTCATTCCTATTCTTTAAAATTCTTAGAATCTGGCAACACGCATCTCTCTTGGTCTTCCTCCTATACCTGGAATGTTAGAAAAGGCTGGGGCTCGTAGATCTGGGTTCACATTCTAACTAGGCTCCCTGCTAGCCATGAAACATTGGGTATGTCACTGAACCCACCGGAACTTCAGTTTACTCATTTATAAAATGGGTACCATTTGTGTAAAGAGTGGCATCAGTCAGAAATGAATCAGGAAAACAGAAATGTGTCAGTCATTTTAAGAGAGAATTTAATGTAAGGAATTGTTTTAAAGGTGTTAGAGAATTGAGAAAATGAAAAGGAAACATAGAAACGACACCAACTGCAAGAAATTGCTACCACCTCTATGGCCAGGGCATCAGAGGGAAAGAGGGCTGGGTTATTAGAATCTAGAAGCACTGGAGACAAGCTGCACAAGGTGGGATCCAGCCCTCTGTCAGGAAAATGCTGCCCTACTCTTGCTGGGACCTCTGACAGGGCACAATAAGGCAGGTTTGGGGGCACAGAGAAAAAAAGGAAACAAGAACAGATTGTCTAGGGCTCAAATCATGCTGCCAGAAAGAGCAAGAAAATGTGAAGAATCAGGTTCATCCTTTGCCATCCTGGAGCTTTTCCTCCAGTACTCATGTCCCCAGCATCACAAAGCAGATGGAAGGGTAGGTTTGGGGCTGAAAGACACTAGTTAAATAATTGGAAAAAAACATGTAGTGCAATGCCTAGAACGTATTACTCCATGTAATACAAGTTAATCCAACCCCTTTTTTCTTCTGCATTTTTGGCCCTCTTTTTTGCAAGTTTTCCCTAGACCCTCCCCCCAAAAAAAGGAGCTTGGAAGAAAGCTTTTAAGTTAATGTGAATGTAAAGCAAGTTTATTGTAATTTATCTTTATAACTAACCCTTAATTCTTCCAGTAAGTACTTAATCTAACACAAGATCAACTGGAACTCTTTGTAATTTACCCTTCATATTGATTTTGCCTCACAAATCACAAAGTGTTCTCTGAGTCCCAGGCTGGGTTGGGCACCAGGTGGATTCTCTCAGTGACTCCTGTGTGTTTAGCTTATGGTTTCTGAGCCCTAGTTACTTATTTTCTGAGTCTCCCCACTTCAAGTTGGTAAGAGGAAGAAGGAGAATGAGAAACATATTCCATGTCTATTCACTCTCTGCAGCTCTTACTCAGCTTTAAGTGCCTCTACTGCTTGGAAGTGTTAACTTCTCTAGGTCTAAATCCCTTTCTACCTAAAACTCATTTCCATGACTAGTTTCTATGCTACTTTCACTCTATGTTTACATTTATTTTGAAAGAGTAAATCCAGGTCTTCCTACATTCATTTACTATGATTTCTCTATAGATTTCTCTTAGCAACTACCACAGCAGCTTCTTTTTTACATCAACTACCTAATAAACATTTCACCTTACTGAGAATGAAATATTTATAGGAATTTTAACCAGTTTTACTAGGGTATTAGAAATTAAACGACACATTAAGGGACAAATAGTAAATAAATTCTGAGTAGCATAACATGAAAATAAGCATTTCCTCTAGTGCAATTTAATAAAGGTAAATCAAAAGATTTGGAAAGATTTGTGGTGCATGCCAAAGAGAAGTTTAGGGAAGAAAACAAACAAAATAAGTATCTCTACTC